GATTCGAGATCCGAGATTCGAGATACGCGATTCGAGATTCGAGATTCCAGATCCGAGATCCGAGATTTGTGATTCGAGATCCGAGATCCGAAATCGGAGATCCGAGATTCGAGATTCGAGATCCGAGATTCCAGATCCGAGATCTGAGATTCGAGATCCAAGATCCGAGATTCGAGATCCGAGATTCGGGGTCCGAGATTCGAGATTCGAGATTTCTGCGCGCTAGAGAATCTTTAGTGGTTGTTGAAAAATGTTGCTTGGGAGAACATTGGTCATTAGAATGGTTGGTTGCATGAGCCTTCAGGAGAAGCAATCAGAAGGTTGGGTGAGCAGATTGAGGCAGCTGAGGGGTGGTGGTGAGAATAATCAAGATGAAATCATAAAGACACCAGCATCCAAAAAAATGAAAACACCAGCGCCAGCTGGAATGATTTCATGCAGATGGTATGTGAAAAGGGTGAGGCAAAAGATCAATTTCACTATAGTAGGAAGATCTTGGATACTATTGTAATTGACACGAAAGTATTTCAGCAACATAATATAATAGTTTATCAATAAACCATATTTATAGTGTTCTGGGCGCACATGGCTTGATTAATAGGGGAAGCTTTCTGCCAAGAACACAACTATTAGAGGGAGTCCAATGTGGAATTTAGGTGTTCAGTTAGTTTAGTGTTGGGGGTCGAGATGGGCTTGATATGGCTTGATTAATTGCCCAAGGTTACTTGGTCCTATGTTAACATGTTGCCAAAGGGAGCCGTCTGTCATTCTCAACGCAAAAGGTTGGTATTGGTAGGGGGTAGCACAAATTTTATATACAGTATACCATATATCAATGAGAAGTAAAATGATCTTGTAATTAATGACAAATATCCCGATTATTTTCCTTAAAGAGTGGTTCGAGTCCTCCAACCATGTAAGTAAGATTCTGCACTTCTCTTGGAGATGTGCGGAACGATTTCTCCTTGTTGGACGGGATCGTATTCCATGGCATTGGCTGCGAATTGATGCGATTTCTCCCTGGTTCCTGCCAAATCAGATTGATTGATTGAAGGTAGGCTTTCACGGATCGCCAAGGCTTTGTTCATGAAAATTCCAGCTTCTTCCCGTTTCCCCAGGCTTTGCAAAACTTGGGCTAGCTGCTCACAAGTCTCAGCAGTCGCAGGGTGAGAATATCCACATGAGCGCTCACGAGCACGGAGAGCCTTGCGCAAATACAACGCGGATGCTTTTGTGCTGCCGCTTTGCTGCTTCAGAAGACCAAAGCGATGCATCGATTCTCCAAACTCGGCACTACTAGTTCCAAAGAGCTCCTCTCGGATGCATACTGAACGGTCAAGCCAGAACTTGGATTGATTCAGATCCCGAAGTTTCATGTACACATCGGCCAAGGTCTGCATTGATGTGGCCAAGCGTGCAGCAAAGCATCCTCTTGTATCAACACCAATCTCTTCAATGCAAACCTCAGAATCTTCACCATCATCGCGAAGCTCTTTTTCAGTCTCAGCTGTCTCAGTGGATTTTGGTCTCTTTCCAAAGCTTGGCATTTTCGCAACGGATCGGATTTTGGCCATGAAGCCGATGGATTTTCTTTTCTCTTCCGGTTCCTCATCGGACGTTTCGATGGGCTTTCCCTTTCGGCTGCGCTTGGCCTGGATCCGCCTGCTCCTTTCGGAGGGCTTTTGGACCAAAGCTGCAGAATCGTCAGAATCCTCCAACCTCTCCGCAACATCATTGGAGTTCAATTGTTTGAAAACCTTGAGAGCTTGAAGCAAAGGAGCCAAGGATGCATCCAGCTTTCCTTGGCGGATCATGACCAGGCCAATCTGTTGTAATGTGTCAGCAGGCAAGGCATGATTCTGTCCAAAAAGCTTCTCCCTCTGTTTGTACGCTAACTTGAGGAGCTTGAAGGCTTTATCTAGCTCGCTATGGTTGGCACAAGCCACACCTAGTGCAGCTTTGCTGGCTGCAACTTGTGCACTGTTTCTTCCAACAAGCCGCTCACGGAGGCTCAATGCAGCTTGTAAATACAGAATTGCTTCTGATGCCTGGCCAAGATGCAAATGGACTTGGCCAAGCTGGTGCAAAGAAGCGGAATAATCCAAGTTTCGTTTTCCCAGCTTCTCCGCTCGAATGGCTGCTGCCTGAGAAAGGTAGGCAAGGGCCTGCTGGAGGCTTTGGGCAGTCTTTCGGCGCATGATTGCAGAACCAAGCTCATGCAATGTGTCAGCTAAATGCACACTGTCCTCCCCAAGTTGTTCTTTTCGAATGCTTGCCGCCTTCCCAAGTAGAACTATGGCTTCTTCTTGCCGACGCGGCATGCGGGCATAAAGCGAGCCAAGTGCATGTGCAGAAGATGCAACTGTTGGGTTTTCACGGCCAAATGCCGTTCGTGTCTGCAAAGCTTTCTCAAAGTTCCTCCGAGCAACCTTGAACTTGCCGGAAGCGAAGCAAACATTACCCAACAATTGAGCAGTGACAGCAACTTCCTCAGACTCAAGGCCATAGTTTTCTTTTCGGATATTCAAGCATTGCTCCAGTTGTTCGGCAGCTTGATCCAAGAGCTCTTTTGAATCCCGGCTCTCTCGTGCAGTGCGCAAATAAATCAGACTTGTGTGAAAAAGCTGGGTGGCCACCGCTGCTGACTTGAATCCAAAGAGTTCCTCTGCTGCGGCCATTGCAACATTAATGGCCTCCAGTGCCTCCTTGTTCTTGCCAGATCTGGAGCATACACTGGCATACACATTCAGTGTTGAAAAGAGGTCCGGGTCAACGGCATCAAGGATCCGCCTCTTGTACTGTAGAGATGCAATGAGATGCTCTCGCGCACGTTCCAAGTCTTCACACTTGTCATGAATCTCTGCAATAATCTCATGACTTCTGGCAATATGCAGTTCCAGCTGATTCCGGGCACCAACATCGCACAACAAGCTGTCCAGTTCAGGCATGCTACTGAGAATTTCTTGCTGGCGAAGCAGGCGCTCTTTGAATGCACAAAGCGCGAAATTGTAGTTTGCCTTCATGGGATTATCCTGCTTCTTGTGGTCCGTACTTTGATTCTCGTTGGCAATGCTGGCCTTCACCAGAAAGCAATACCCTGTCAAATGCAATATGTTTAGGACGTCATCGTGCAAATGACCTTGTATCGCCTCTCTTTTTTCAAGGGCAACACTGAGATATTGCAACGCGGAATCTGTATCTTCCAAATGTATATACGCCACCGCTATGTTCGTTGTGATAGCTAAAGAAGTGTCAGACTCAGTCGTGCTGTTAGGCAAGTTCCGTCTGACAATACCTGCTGCTTCTCTGAACTTCTGGAGGGAGGACGTTGCATCCCCACTTTGCAAGGAGCAACACCCTAAATTCGACAGTACGACTCCTTTTTGAACCGGTTCTTGGTCCATGTTGTTAAGCCGATTTCTCTTTGCTTTTAAGGTTGATGTAAGCTCTGGCAAAGATACCTTGCCATCGTTTGAAACACTATCCAGCATGGAGAAAACCCGATCAGGATCGCCAGGGTAATTCAAATGTTGCAAAGCTTCGACAAATTTCCGGCGACCAAGCGCAGAACGCCACTCACCTTGAACTAAGTCTGTATACAACATATCTTCGTTTCCCCCATATTTGTCATTCACGAACGACTTCAGCACTGCAAGCTCTGCAGCTGCGGGTTTCTTCTTTTCCGATGTCAACTCAAGGGCTTGTTCGAAGTATCCACCAGCAGTACTGTAGTCACCCAAAAGGTACATTTGAACTCCCAAGTTGTTTGCATTTTCTGCTTCGAACAAAGCTTTGCCAATGGTTGCTTTGTGCTTCTTGAATGCAGCAATGACTGCATCATCATTGGGATCCAAGGTGCCGGACTTCCGCAAGTTGAGCAACTTTTCATCACCGATCTCTTGCACTGTAGGATCTGCAGACAGGCCCAAGTTCTCTGCGACGTCTGTAACATCAACACGTTTGCTACCAAGTGCCTGAGAGTGCTGACCATTCGTCTTGTGGCCGACCTGTACGTCGCGCAGCCTACTTGACAAGCCATTTCGGCGGCCAGACTCTGCCAAGTTCTTCCCTCCCACTTTGGAGATCAACTCGTTTGTCCTGCGACTCTGAGTGCCTTTGGCAGACAGGGGTGCACTTATGAATCGCGAAAAGCCCCATTGTCTGCGCGATCTTGCTGATTCACCATCCTGGGTCCTCCCATCGGACTCCGCCGGCATTTGGTGTCAGGATCATTGCAGCTTCAACTGGATGAGAAAAACACAGTTGCATGCATACAAAGTCCTTTCATTCAGTTTGGCTACTGCACATGTAAACAACCTACTGGCCAACTCGAATGATCAATGTGTAAACCGTACCTCAACACCAATCTTGCATTTCAATGGGGTTCAAAGGTGATACTGTGGCACTTGCATGTGTGCATGTGAAAACCTGCGCAAGGGTCTCATCAGCCAACACTATTGTGTCAGCCGGCTATCTTGATCCAGGTGCCACACATGCACAGCAACCTGCAAGCAACAACAGCGTACACATGGAAGCGTGCTTTATCCACCTAGGCTGGCAACACCCATGCCGCTGGACATTCTTTTTCTCGGATCTCATTAGACTTCTGCTTGGCATGGACTTACCGGGCAGGGTGCCAACATTTCATGCAACCCGAATCCCGAGACACTTAGTCCGTGCGGAGCAACGAAATAACAGAATTAGATAGGTGGCTCATCCTTGAAGAAGCGAAAGCTCAAAACTGCAAACTGACATGGCCAATGTACCTTATAGAAAAACTGAGCAACATTGATACTGCCACCTGCTAGCTCTATGTGAACAACGAGCCCTTCCTATCCGAGGGAGGGCCGGGCATTTCTCAACTCTGTGGCTTGTGGCTGGCCCCTGTAGTTTTTGAAGACGCTGAATTTAACAGCATCACCCTGGCCAAAGTGCCGCTTCTGGTTCACATGCAGGAACACATCCATGCCATTGAATCGTTGTTTAAGCTCTTCGTTGCCAATGAAGCCATAGCCTTTGTCCTGTCGTAACTGCTTCAAATCTTGCACGTTGATTGTGGCGAGACAAGAACGAAGAATTTGACCTAGTATTCACCACTGACTTGATCGTTGTTCAAATCCCGAATGCACCACTAGATACAACTAGGTTCTCTACTTCCGTGCCTCGAGCCACATGGTGATGCGTCCTTCAAAACGCTGGTCGGTGACTCCAGGAATCTGCTCCATATCATGAGGCCTGTAGCTTGGATGGCTCATGTCATTGGACGAGCCGGGTGGCAAGCCATCATCTCCTTCCTTTTTGGCCTTTTTCTGTTTTTTTGACTTTTTTCCTTCTTTATCATCACCTTCTCCCAGCATTGAGCCCATCATGGCGCCCATCATCATCATCTGCATCTGCATTTGCATCTGAAGCATGACCTGTTGCTGCATCTCATCCCCTTCACCTTCCTTGCCCTTATCCGGCCCACCGCCACATGCATTGGGTCCACCCATGGGCCCAGGCAGGCCCATGCCACTGCCCATGCTCCCTCCCATGCCGCACCCCCCACAACCTCCGCCTAGGCCACCGCATCCTGCCGGCCCTCCACATGGTCCAAGCGCTTTTGGCAAAATCCCTCCATTCGCCCCACAAGGCATTGCGCCTTTGGCCTCAGTGGAGCCAATCCTAAACAAAGAACACAACACATACAGGACGCTACTAGGAACAAAGGGCATCGCTACTAGGAGCAAGGACGCTACTGGTAACAACACACACTAAAAAACCATACATCTGAGCTTGGCCTTTTCCATGAACTACTTTGATCGGCAGTCATTGGTCCACGACAGGCTTCAAAGACTGGTTTCTTAAAAGCCACACCCCCTTTCATTCACAGTGTTCTGCCGAGACACCTGAAATGGCATTCCCAAGGATCCTGGAAGGGGTCCTAAGGAAGCACCTTTTGCCACCGCGCCCATGCTACTTGGATTTGGAGCACTTCCTTTCATCATGTTACTTGCTTTGGCCATCGTCCCAGGAGCATTGGCTTTGGGAATTCCAGGCGCAACACTTCCATCTCCATCACCTGCTCATGGCCAGGAGAGGATGCTTCACTCCAAATGATGCTCTGGCCCATGCATAAACAAAGCGTACCCGACACAGAGAAGAAACCATTTGCTATCAACAAACATAACAAACCAAAAAACCTGGAGCCCACTATGACTGTGCCTAGAGCATCGAAAGCCTTGGGCTTCTTTTGCTCCTTCTCCTTGTGCTCTCCGCTCTGCTCCAATTCTTTGCCCTGTTCTCTCAAATGGGTTGCTAGGCGCTCTCGCGCCCACCTACGTGGGTCGACCAAAATGGCTTGCTTATTCTCATCCCCAACAACTTGAGGCAGCTTACTTCTGTCTTCCTCTTCTGACTTTCCATCTTCATGTACTTCTTTCACCCGAGGTTCCTTCCTTTCCTTTTCCTCTGGCCGATGGCTTGCTTCCAAAGCTTCTCGGCTTCGCTTCAACTCGGAAGTCCTTTTCTCCAAAGCCTAGCGCTTCCAACCGCAGAGACGAGTGCACAGCCCAGAAAACAAGTGAAACTCAAAACAGGGACATGCATCAAAAAAGGTGGCAAACATATTTATATATATAGATTGGAGGGCTCAACACAGGTTGCATTTGCAACATCTACCTCGATTTGCTGCAGCAACGTTGAACTGGTTCGTTCCAGCGTCAACTTCACATCGGAAGGTGCCGCAGACATTCCTGCAAGTTGCTCCAGTGACACCATCTAAAAGATTCCGAAACAAACCACATCACACAAATGATTCTTTTCATGACTTTGACCACACTCCGCGCACCTCAGTCAGCCAACAGTGACGTCACAGCCAGGCAGCTGTGGTCCCGCTACTCCCACCATCCGGTCAAATTTCCCTTCCTGCTTGAGGCCAATGATTCGCATATGTTTGACCTGAAATCCAGTCGTTTTTCTATGCCTATGCCTTACGCGCCTGCACGTATTCCAAGCACACGCACGTATAAAACACGAGTACAAAGGATATCCCCAAAAAAATGAATACGAATGATGCCCGAAGAGTGAATCACACAGCGGCCGGCACAAGCCTCCACAAATCACAAGCCAGAACAAATCCACAAAAATCAACCACAAACGGTTCGAAACACAATTCCCAAAAACAACGGTAGCAGCACAAAACTGTTGCACATCTCATTGCAATTACAATGCCACATCACAGTGTTCTTGCAAAATTTGCGCGTCGGCGAACGCTGTGCGAGAGCAATTCGTGGCCGGTGCCCTTTTGGCAACAATGCGATAAACAGCACAACTTCCAGCCCCTTTAAATCGTACATTTGTCGACTCCTTCTCTTTCAGGAACATTAACGGACACGTTTTCATGCTTGCAATTACGACCCGCGCATGCCACACCCGTCCTTTCACGAAAAGAAACCTTTAAAAAACAGGGCTCCTCCAGACCACAACCCTGCCACGCAAAGCCCCCACGACCCGAATCACAACCACACCGAAACCGGAAAATTTAGACTCACCAGCCTGGAACGACAAAGGTTAGCACGGGAATTTTGTTGTGTCCCCCCACAAAAAAAAAACGGGAAACCAAAGAAATGGAAGAAAGAAAATCCACGCGAGAAACGTTGCGCACCAAGGGATGGGAACCAAAAGCCGGAACACCAAACGGATCTACAATATACACTTTGTGATGCACATTACGATTGTCTTGGCTCAAAAGGTTGACAACACCGCACGACGCCTCGCTGGCAGCAATTACACAAGCACAACGTGCCACATCACAAACCACGAAATCACAAATTAATGCATAAGATCAGATTCTAACATGCCAGGGGGGGCGTCCAACGAGTGGAGTGGCAGAGAAGCACGGGTTTGGAGCGAAGAGTTCGGCCCTCACTAATTAGAGACATGAGCCAAGCGCCTGACACTAGAGACTAGGAGGTCCGAGTCCAAGCAACGGCGGTCGTCTGCCAACGGTTTTGGTGTGCTTGAACGATGATGTCCTGCAGCACTGAACGTGGCCCCCGTCACCCATAACGCCTCTTTCCCTGAAAGAGGCCGCGTGATGGCACGACGAATGCAAAGCCACGAACACACGCAAGGACCCCTTTGGGGAAGGTAGCGAACACGCACCCGTTGGTGCAAAGCACGAAGCAGGCGTCCGAGACGGGGTGAGGGATCAAAACACGAGATTAGCACAGCATCAATGTTAAAAATAATCGACGAGTCGTTTTGCTTCTGTGGTCATTTCATCCCCTGGTGCTTTGGTCCCCCTGGACCTCTTGTGCCCCAGGTTTTTGGTCCCACTAGTCCCCTGGTCCGCTGGCCTCGTGGTCCATTGATCAATATTATGTTGTTCACAAACACGTCTTTCTTTGTTTGAGTGCCCTTCATTGATGACGCAATGGGGTGTGCAGTTTTCAATGGTGATCTATATATTTTGTTGTACCTTTTGAACCCGATGGTTTTTGATGTTTGGTTCGCTTTCGAGGGGAGGCGATGCGCCCTCCCCCTCCAGCCACCTATTTTTGCCACTGCGCTTGGCCTGCTACAACACGTTTGCTAAAGGTCGCCCAGGCACCCATCGCTCACGAAGAATATTGCACGCACCCGCCTAGGTCGTTGTGATTTTATGCTGCAGCCGGTTGCAAGCATCCTTTGATTCCCTGTGGCGGATGGGCCCGTCATTGATTTGGCACAAAGGTGTGTGTGTGTGTGTGTAGTTTTCAATGGTGATGATGATATATGGTGGTT